ATTGACCTTTTCTAGAATATTTTCCTCCCCCAGTTGTGTATAATTTAAGTAATATTTATTGTGCATTGTGCCTCTATCTGTTTCATTATTAATTGATGGGATTTCTGGCAACTTTTTTAACTTATTGTTTCCTCCACAGATCACAATTGGTGCTGCTGTTAAAATGGTACAGAAACGGTCTTTTGATGATGGAGAACCACTTGAGATCTCTTCCAAGCACTTGAAACAAGTGGTTGAACAAAGCAATCAAATAATGTCATTTTCAGAATCTGTTATCCCTGAAGATCCTCTACGATATCATTTTGCTCTAGGTGCGAGATTTTGCCTTAATCTTATGTGGAAGTTTTCAGCAACTGTCTTAAGACTAGTAGTTTGTTGAAGTTGCTATCTTGTAGGATTGTAATGTGGAAGCTGCAGATTTGAGCTATTGTACCCAACATATATTTATCATCTACTTATTATCATCCTTTTGTATTTAAGTATCTCCCAGTGAAAGATATTTTTTTGATTTGGGCTAATCATTTATGCCGTTTTATGTACTTTTTTTAATATTTATTTGATTGATAAAATTAGCTGCAAAACAAAATTTATCTGATGTTTCTATTTAGAGCTGTCTGGATAACTCTGATGGCCATTCATTTTCAATTGTGATTGACAGGGGAGGAATTTCCAAAGAATGATTTAGAAAGTGACGAAAAGCATTCAAGTGGAGTTTTCTCAGAGCCCCAGGGAAGCAGTGACGACTTTGATACTAATATTCCTGGCTTCATGTCCTCCTCCTCTTGCACGAACAATATTAAGGCCCTTGAAGAGGGATCCCCATCTAAATCTCCTCGACATTATTCTATTTCCTCTGATTTTTTTAACCCTGCAAATCATCAGCGAAGGATTTTGACGTACTGTGAAGAAATATATTCTTTACTATTGGACCACCCTCCTCAAAAATCTGTCTCCATTGGTCCTGATCATCAAGCTATTGTTCCACCATGGAGATCACGGGATGTGGAGGCTATGCCTTATGTGTCTGAATCAGATTCAAAGTCTGATCTTACGGTTGATGAATACGAGAAGAGGTTGATTGGTACTTGTGTTATTCCAATGCCTGATGTGGATTCAGAAGTTGGGAGTGGAAGAGCAGCTTGCAGCTGTGAGGATGGTGGATCTGTGGGATGTGTTAGTGCGCACATTGCAGTTGCAAGGGAGCAGCTTAAAAGTTCTATTGGACCAGAAAAATTTATGGAGCTAGGGTTTTCTGAAATGGGAATGCAAGTGGCACAGAAATGGAGTGAAGAAGAAGAACGATTGTTTTATGAAGTAGTTTTTTCCAATCCAGTCTCATTGGGGAAAAACTTCTGGGGTGATCTTTTGGACGTTTTTCCTTCCAAATCTAAAATGGAGATTGTTAGTTACTACTTCAACGTTTTTATGCTCAGAAGGCGAGCAGAGCAGAACAGATGTGATTCATTAAACATTGATAGTGACAATGATGAGTGGCAAGGGAATGATGACTATGGTGACAATGAACCTGGAATGACGGAAGAGGATGACGACTCTGTTATTGAATCACCACTACACGAAGTTGGGCCTGTATTCAATCATGGCCGGGAAGATGATTTGCAGGAGTATGACGAGGATATTACCGATGAAAGATTTGATGATAATGAAAGTGGGGGTATTGGTAATTGTTTCAATAATTGTGGTTCCAGTCCCGCTCTTCATGACAAAATTCCTTGTGATGAAAGGGGAGGAGAACACGAAGTTCAAGATGATTCCTGCACATCATCTGAGACGTGTCCTGCAACCCAAGAACTTCCAGCCAAGATGGAGCATTGTGATCAATGGCTGGGTAGCTTTACGGGGCCAAGCAATAGTGTTGGTCTTGGTCATGGGCCTTCATCGGTTCAAGATCATTGTGATGCTAAGGTGTGGGATGTTGGATACTTGACTTGTTCGAAAAGTGAAGTTGACTTCTTGCCAACTAGCTGTATGATAGAAGAAGTTTTTGGAGATGGTTCGAGTAATTACAAGGTAAGGGACGGGAAAAGCTAGAGTTAGTTGCAGCCTGAGCATTCAACATCATGAATGGTAAATTGGAATGGAAAAAAATTTTCCTTTCTTTTTACTTTCTCGAGGGTGTATCGCCCAAAATTTTTCTCCTGCATATAAATAGCGGTAGGGAGAATTGCAATTTTCTTTTTCATCAAGCTAAGATGGACAGCCACCTTCCCTGTAAAGAGATGGCATACTTGAAACGCAATTTGTTTTCCTGCAAGATGTCTTCTCTTGATCATAAATGAAAAAATTGGACTCATGTTTCGTCTCTCTTGTGCAAAAAGAAAGTGAGTTTTGCACATCCATTTTTTTATTAGCTTGTCTGTATATATTCATGAACAAGAATTATTGATATACATAATGGTCAAAATATCTGAAATTTTAGCCAGAGACGTGTTTTCCAAGTGAGATACTTATTAAGTGCCCCATCCGTAGGCCTGTTTCCTGTATTTTCATAGGTTGTGAACTTTTGTACCTGCCTGCTTAATGTGGATGGCCTGACTGCCTGCCAAGGATGCAATACTGTGTGCCTCATTGTCTAATAGTGAACCAACGGAAATCATGTGCTTTCATTGCATTTGCATCCATGTGTGTGTGCGTGTTTTTTTTTCACTTGCTTGACTCTTCTTTTGGATCTCATTTTTCTTTTGGTGTCGAGATTGACAGGTTTGTGCATCATGTTGAGGCATCAAGTTGTTTGCATAAAGTTGCATCATGTTGTGTCTGTCATTGCCTGGTTTTAGTGTCATTTTGAATAGGCTTTATTTATGGTTAATTTGCATTAGATTTAGAAACCCAATGTGGATTTTTCCGTAGTTGTGGGAATCTAGTGAGATCATCTTATCCCTTCCCCCCATTGTTGTTGATATAAGGGCTTTGTTAGAGAAAGAAAGAGAGGCCAATCTTTGCTCTATAAAGGGTTCTACTTTTTAAATTTTGAGCATCACTTTTTTAGGAGCTCCATTGAAACCTCACTTCCAAGTCAAGTCCAAGCAGACGGTAGCCCGCACCATATGTAAAAGAACTACAATACAATACAATACAACTATCATGTCACTCCTGCCAAGTATCCACCACCTGTTTTTCTTTCATTTTAAAATCTTAGCAACTTTAGTCAAACAAACCACAATTTGTACAGGCGCGAGTGGCTTCCACGTGCCTCCACTGGGTCCATCCCTCTTTCTCCTTGAACAAGTATAGTTTGAAAATTATTGCCTTCTGTTTTCACTTTCCTCACAGAAGCAGCAGAATCAGACCGGATTGGATGTGATCGGCAAGCAGTGCACATGTTGCGTAAGATTGAACACAGACTATATTTTATTTGATTCCAAAAGATAGTTCACTTATTTATATATTATGAATTGTGATGAACTATAAAAGATATAGGCTGTGTCTGACACATTTTGTAGGAAAAAACAAAGCAGAAAATGGAAGGCAATTACAGATAAGTCACAGCTAAAACTCGTACTGAAGTGCTGAAGAAGGGAGCAACCAAATGGAAGGTGCTCCTTAATCATAGTCGACATGTGATTAGTAGTCCCAATCAATGCCTTATCCTTTTCTTTTTACATTCATTAACTTTGTGCTTAATTGCCAACATAGGCCGGCACCGAAGCTGCAGCACTCTTCTTGGTTTTTTCTTCTTCCCTTTTCACTTTCTTTACCATGTTCTTTTTCTTGTGAACAAACCAAAGAGAGAAGCCATTAGGAAAAAATGGACCAAACTAAGCTGTGAAAGTTTTTTTTTCTCAGTAAATCTCAATAAACTAAGCATACCAAACCCTCTTAAAGAGGATAGTCAATACAATATACAAATATCAGTTGGTTTAAAACATCTGGGAACTTACCCAAGTGATTCTTTTAGCTTAAACAAATCAATCCCATTTGATTAAGTTTGTTGGAAATGGAAACAATAGAATCAGAGAATGGCTTCTGGTTCAACCCAAATGGGTAAAGTAATACATGGAACAGTGGAACCCAAAGATCCAAAGTGACAGTGGAAGGAGTTGAAGCAATAAACAATTTACAAAAAAGAGGGGGAAAAGAAAGGAAATGAAGAGAGAAAGTACAAAAGAATAACGACCAGATGAAAGTGGAAGGGATTTGAGCAGAGACTGGTGGAGGTGGGAAATTCCTTAAGGAAGGAATAGTTTTTGAGTAGGGCAGTTAGGTTTTGAGAAGCATCATGGCCCCATGGGGATGATCGCTTCAACAATCTCAGCCGTCAGATTTGGAGAAGCGTAGAACTCTCAGTTAAATACACGTGCTGCTCTCTCTTCTCTTCTTTGCCTCTCTCTCTTCTCTTTTAACCTTCTCATCATCTCTTTGCATGGATTTCTCTTCTAAATATAGTCAAGCTTAGATTCTAAAGAGAGAGAAACTCTCATAAGCTTGCTTACTTGCTCAACTTTTAAGCCTTTCTTCATTTCATTTGCTTTCTTCGTAGCTATTATTAGCAACAGAGGTTACAGATCACACACCCAATTCTTCAAAGTATCTCTCTCTCTCTCTCTCTCACACGCACACTCTCTCTCTCTCTCTCTCTCTTCTTGTTTTATATATCTTGCCTTGTATACACTTCAACAACCCAAAAGGGAGGTTAGTAGAGAGAGAGAGAGGTGGTAGAATGTTTACTGGGTCCTCTTCTTTTCCACTTTTTATGCCTCAGATCTTGTTCTTGCTTCATAATTCTTCCATTTCTGAGGTGGGTTAAGTGATCAGTTGCAGTTTGAGCAAGGTTTTGTATGATCTAGAGGAGATTGGCTTGGTGTTCTGATCTGGGTAGTGTTTGTTTTTGTGTTTTCGTTCTGAATTGGATCTTGTTTTCAGTGTATGAGATTAAGAATTGCAGCATCAATTCTCAAGTTCTTGTATTGATTTTGAAGTTTCATTAGCTTTTTGTTCTCTTTTTACCTCTTGAAGTTAATTCAACTGTAGAGTGTCTGTAAATGGAAGCTAATTTAGCAGCCAGACATGTTTGCAAGCTCTGCAACAAGAGCTTTGCTTGTGGCAGATCCTTGGGAGGTCATATGAGGTCTCATTTGACCAATAACTTAGCTGATAATAATGATGAGAAACATAGCAGAACAAGTCTTCAACTTGCAAATTACAGTGCTGGAAGCTTATCATACATGGAGGAGGACACAGATTTGGAAGGTGGAAATTTTGGTTATGGTCTCAGAAAGAACCCGAAAAAGACTCAGAAACTTAAGTTCTTAGGTGAAGAACCGTCGCTCCTAGACAAGTTTTGCAGACAGTGTGGTAAAGGGTTTCAATCATGGAAGAGTCTTTTTGGCCACATGAAATGCCACTCTGAGAGAGCACTCGTTTCCAGTAGTCAAGAGCTGGAAGAACCAGATTCTTATATCACTGATGCCAAACAGAAGGTGGTCATGGACATCCAATCTGATAATGAAACAGAAGCTCCCAACAAGAGAAAGAGATCAACAAGGAGAAGAACAGCCCAAATGGGCACTGCTGCTAATTCAACTTCTTTCTCCTTTGCCACAAATTCTTCCTCTGTTTCAGAAATTGAGCAAGAACAAGAAGTTGCCATTTCCTTGATGTTACTTTCCATGGATGCGGGAAATTGGGTTGGTTTCAATTCCCCAGCTGAGTCCTCAGATAACAGTTCAAAGTTTCTTGAAGCCCCATCTGTTGTTGAGAGCAAAACCTCCTCTGTGAAGCAGTCAGAGCACAGTTCTTCTGGGTTTATCAACAAAGGAAAACTGATAATGAAAACTCAACCCGATCAAAGAGCTGGATCTAAAACTTTCCCCAAGAAAAATGACCAAAACCAAGCTAGATTCAGCTCTGATACGTTCTTGAAATCTCGAAAGAAGACACTAGCAGAGTTTTGGGATTCAAAAATCTGCAAGAAGCCCAAAAAGAGAAGCAAATTTGAGTGTAATATTTGCTACAAGATCTTTCACTCATATCAAGCACTTGGTGGGCATAGAGCAAGCCACAAGAAAATAAAGGGCTGTTTCGTCGAGTCCCCCATGGAAGAGGAGGAAGAAGAAGAAATGGGCAGTGAGAGCAGCCTAGAAGTGGCCATTTCTGCAGACCCAACAGCCGAAAGCAAGCTTCGGAAAGGCCTCAACAATGGCGGTCGAAGCGAAGAAGACGAAATGGGTTCCCAGATTCCAAAAAAGATCAACAAACACAAGTGCCCAGTTTGCAATAAATTGTTCGCATCAGGTCAAGCACTTGGTGGGCATAAAAGATCGCATTTGATCAATGGATCAGAGTCGTCCAAAAACAGAGAACCCACTGAAATTCCAAAGCAAGTCCCAGAAATTAGGGGGTTTTTGGACCTGAATCTTCCTCCTGAACCTGCTGAAAGAGAACCCAAGGACCACAACCTAGCATCATTAAACCCATGGTGGGTTGCACCCAATGAACACAAGCATGAAGCTCTTGTGAACGTGGGGTTTCATATCTAACTCCCTGTTTCTTTTCCCTTTCAACTTCAAATAAAAACAGAGAACAAAAAACAAGAAGATTGAAGAGATTGTATAGTCAAATACTTTCTGGGTATCATTTCATTTCATTGATTCTTTCCATTGCAGCTTTGATTTTGAGACTTTGATCTTGTTCTTATGGTGTAATGAAATTTAGAATTTACAAATTGGTTAATCCCATCTCAAGGGATGTTCTTGGAGGGGTGATTATTTTATGTTGGCATCAAAGAAAAATGAATGATGTGCCTTGAAAAATGGGTTTGGTATAAGAAAGTCATGAGAGGATTAAAAGCAAGATTTAAGATGACACAAACTTCGTAAGGATGGCATGTGAGATCAAAGTGGTTGTTTAGTCACCTACCAAAAACACATCACAAACCCATCTCACTTTCTATACAATGCAAGTGGAGTTGCCAATAACATCATACCATTCTCTACAAAATGCCCCATTTTAATCTTTTCGACGATAGAGGACCACCGATCTAAAAAAATCTTCTTCAATTATAAATTATACTTTTAAACCTAAGCTTCTATTTTGACCTATTGTGTAAAATATCATCAACGTTGCACAGACGTAACATGTTCAAGCCGGTGATGCAAGCTCTAAACCATATAGAGCTTAGAAAGTATGAAAATTTCGATAATATCTAAGATTTTACCTAACTCTAAAATTTTACTAGGGTAAAAAAAAGTAAATTAAAATGGAAAAGGCAGTAAAAAAGCAAAATGAGTGTAGTAAATGGAATGACATTGAGTTAGTTGCATGAGTGACCTAATTAATGGGGTGGTGAAGCACGCAAGCGAACAATTTGGTCCCAATGACCACGCCTCCCTGTTTTCTTATTTTATTTTTATTTTATTTATTTGATGTAAAGGCTTTTGCCCCCAAACTCATTTTCTTTTTTATTTTTCACTTTACCATTATGAAAATATAAAATTAAAATTAAATTACAAGTTTAGTGTACGTTCATAATAATAATGCCCCACGATTCTTAGATAAAAAAAGCGACCACTCTACTATTATACTACTGAAGAATAACGAACGTAAGGAAGTCAACTTTCGTTCTTTAAACCAACTTCTACCTAATAAAAAAGGCGAGTCACTTTTTTCTACATACACCGACCGACTAACCGAAAATATCTTCTAAAACGACAAAATAATAAATTAATTTTTGTCCATTTGAATACATTCAGTTAATAAGGTTTGCTTTGGAGAAGGGATGATCGTATCATGTAGACATCCCTTCAACACGACGTAAGTCATCACGACAGATTAGGGGACAATTTCTTAATTCAATTTGGTATGTATATTTTAAATCTTTATTTATTTTGATCGATATTTTATCATAGAACAAACAAATTTTAATTTTTAAAATAGGGATTAAAGTCAAATTTGTAATTTTAGGGCTTTTAAAATTGTTGCCTTTATGAACATCCCTAAATCCGACGCTGCCTGCCTAACTTGCCAAAACCTTTTTATTTGTCACCAATCGTAATAGAAGAGACTTTTACTTTTTTTTTTTTCTGTTCTTTTCTTGTTTGAGTTTTAATCTCCTGCTCTCTGATTAGTGGATCATCAGGAGGTTACATGGAAATTTGAGCTGTTTGAAGTTCGATCAAATCAAATTTGGTAATTTAATGAGTCAATTTGATCTTTGTAATCAAATTCTAAATTACGTATAATTCGATGTTTATTGACATAGTTGCTTAAAAATTCAAGTATTTTTTTTTCCTCTAAATTTGAATATTTAAAAATGGTTCTTATTTAACCGCTTGAATTTCATGCGTTTTTTATAATAATATAATTGTATTAAACTTGATCAGAAATGGTTTAACAATGGCGGGAATGAAGAAAAAGGCGATTTCTAGGAAGGATGTTCCATTCAGTTTATAAATCTTTATTGGGTTGCGCAGATTTGTTTGTTGATTCAAGGGCTTCCTCTATTTTCACGCCCATTCCCGTTGTCGATTCTTGCGGATCCTTTTGGCTTAGGTTTTTCTCTGACGCTTGCGCTCCTTCTGTTCTTTTCTTTCCTTCGAAACCCTGCACAATTCTTCGTTGTTCTATCGATATTACTCTTGATCGTCTGAGTTCTCTGATACTTAAGGTACTTGATCGCACTTCCTTTCTTATGTTATCTGGCTATTCTCTTGGATTTTGAATGCTCGAGGGTTTTTCTCTTGGAACTTTTTCTTGTAATGGATTACGTCCCACCAGTTTTCGTTTCGTTCGATTTTGTTTTTGCTTTGATTCTTATGATCTTATGTGTTTACTGAACTGATGAACTTCACCACTTCACCAATGCTTGCTGGGATTTGAGAGGAAATTGAGCAAGTGTAAAGAAATGGGATGGTTGGAGTTCTATTTATTGATTTTTCTATTGTGGGATGATATTGGTAAACTAGCTATTTCAGGATTATCTCAGAGATGAATTTGTTTTTTGTTTTGGGATAAGTTTCACCAGGGATTGTGTTTCTGATTGTGCATTGTTTGATTCATTTGCATGAATGATTCTTGTGGAAATTTGGTGTGAGATCTCGTATGGGTTGGAGTAGGAAACGAAACCTTTCTTATAAAAGTGTGGAAACCTCTCCCCAATAAACGCATTTTAAAAACCTTGGGGGAAAGTCCGAAAGGGAAAGCCTAGAGAAGACAATATCTACTAGCGGAAGGGTGTGGAAACTTCTCTCTAGTAGACGCGTTTTAAAACCATGAAACTGACGATGATATGTAACAGACCAAAGCGTGGCGGATAATATCTGCTAGCAGTGGAGTTGTACCATTACAGTCGTATTTGCCTGACTGACTTGATTTCAGTACCATAGCTGGTTGTGAGTTTTTTCACTGTTTCTTGGGTCTGATCACTTGTTTCTTGCTATTTTGGCATTCAATGGCTCCAAAGAACGCATCTCAATCATCGTCTTAAAACATGTTTAGTAGTGATTTTGGAATTATTAAAATCACTGTGTATGTACAAATGATACTAAATCACTTACAAACATGTCAGTATGCGGATTTGTATAAACCATTCTTATTTTTCATCGAATCTTCAGCCTATTTTTGCTTCAACTCATTGATGATCTCACATGGTTCTTCTATGGGTTCCAGGGTGGAATTGTGATCATTCTATAAGCTGCTTTAGAATCATCATCCTTGACACACAACCATCACCTGAATTCTGCATTGCCTTTCTAGAAATGTCACATTTTAGTAAATCCCCCATAAATGTTTTAAGGCATGCCTCAGCTCGTTCCAGTCCAAACCCAATTGACTCCAATGATAATTTAGACAAGAACCACAAACACAACTCCTCAGGAATCCCCTCGTCTCATAATGCAACTGTAGCACCAAATCCCAGCTCGAATCCTTTCGACGATCATCTCGAGAAAGAGACCGATTCTTCTTCTTCATATTCTTCATCTTCAAGTTCACATCCATGGTCATCAAGAAACAGATACAAAAATGATTTCCAGGACTCAGGTGGGCTTGAGAATCAGACAGTGGAGGAGTTAGAGAATTATGCTGCATACAAAGCTGAGGAGACAACAAAATCAGTGAACAATTGCCTGAAGATTGCTGAGGACATGAGAAAAGATGCAACCAGAACCATAGTTGCCCTGCATCAACAGGGTAAGCAGATCACTCGCACCCATGTGGTTGCTGCTGATATTAACAATGATCTTAGTCGGGTATGCTCAATCAATTTCTTCAACACATGCTTACTCTTCTTATGTGCTGCACGATTTGATAACCATTTGATTTTTACTTTTCTTTTAGTTTCGAAACTTGACTTAGATTTTGAAAACGTATTAAAAAAAAGTAGATAATGTTGATGATCAGGGGGAGAAACTTCTAGGTAGCTTAGGAGGAATATTCTCTAAGACATGGAAGCCAAGGAAAGTTCGTCAGATAACAGGCCCTGTTATCTTTGAAGGTAATACGTTCATTTTAGCACTCAAAGAAGATAAACATCCAAAATGAAGCTTTCTTAACAACATTTTTTGATTTGATTTGGTTGCAGGCGATCAGGCTGCCATAAGCAAGAGCAACCATTTGGAGCAAAGGGAGCAGTTGGGACTAAGCCGGGCACCCAACCCACGGCCCTCACCAGCCCCACATCCTGAGCCAACCAACCCACTTCAGAAAGTAGAGGTTTGTAATCTATAATTTATGTTCTAATACAGAAATTACTACTTAATTAGAACCATAATTTCAAAGATTTAAGAAGAGATGTTGTAAACTAGGTGGAAAAGGTGAAACAAGAGGACGCTCTTTCAGATTTGAGCAATATATTAGGAGAGCTTAAAGAAATGGCTGTTGATATGGGACATGAACTAAACAGGTGCGTTGTTTATAGCTACATAGAACAAGTTTTTACTTCAAACGCCAATTTTTTTTTTCTTCTTAAACTTGGTTGGAATCTGTTTCTTATTCTAGGCAAACTAAAGCTTTGGATCATCTGTATGATGATACTGATGGCATAACCGTCCGTGTTGATAATGCTAACCGACGTGCTCATCACTTGCTTAGAAAGTAGATAGCGAATTTGCTAGGTCTCGGTCGCCATTGACAAATATGATGGTAGATGCCTTCTCAGTCTCTTCCTCTGTTTCTTCATCCAAACTAAAATCCACATGTTTAGCTCAAAACAGTTGCGAAGATGGTCTCTTTTTTGACAATCTTCTTTATGGTGGTTAAGACTAAGAATGAAACTATTGCCGTTGGACTCTCGAAAGGTAACGTTTTTATACTCGAATTTACTTCGTTCTATTTTTTTGTGTTAATTTTGGGGTAAGTTTCGTTTGTATGCTCAGACATGAAAATATTTTGAAATTTGGAAGTACTTAATCACAAAAAGATATCCAATCATGCTCATCACACCAAATATTTCAAATCACATCCCACAATCAGAATTGATTGATCAAACATACAAGCAAAATCCACAGGAAAAGCTCAGAAAACAAACAATTTATTGAATTCTTATTAGAAAAAGTATGATAGTCAATCAAGTAAAGTCCGCGAATCGGAAATAAACCCTAACTCATGAAGCAGCTTTGATAGAATTAGAATCATACGAAAGAGAAGGGCACAAGAGCTTCCGTCTTCAGCTTCAGTTTGTGTGATGAGCCTCCATGATGCTCTTGACCTTGGGCGAGAAGAGGGAGTAGACGGTGGACTGTCTTTTGGCAACTTCAAGCTGAGCCTTGCCGTCGGCGTAGGCGACGACGATGGACGAAGGATCGGAAAGGTTCCGGTTATGGCGGAAGCCGTCAACGGCGCGTCGTTTGGCGTACTCTCTGATGTTGTAATCACAGAAGTGACGAGCTGTACGGAGCAGAGAGCGAAGAAGCGAAAGGGATTCGGATCTCGTTGGAGTCGCCATTCTCGAAGGCGTGCTAAGACGATGGCGCAAAATCGTATGGTAAGAAGCTTTATACCTCCTTTTACAGTTAGGGATTCGTTGGACAGAGCATTGAGAGATTCTCTTATCTACATGGAAAATTGAGAAGAAAAATAGACATTTTGATGTTTTTTTTTTTCATCATTTTTTATTTTTCTAATAATTTTAGATCTCCCACCTAATTAAATGTATTTGAATGTAAGTTCAAATATTTTAAATATACTTAAATGTAAGTAAAATATTTATTTTCGTTAGGCATAGTTTCTTAAACTAATTATTTTTATTTTTTTTTAATTTTATGATCTATTTTTTTTACTCTAAATTAATTAAAATTAAATAAATACGAATATTTAATTGTTTTTAATCCTACATCATTGTCGATGACTTTATTTTTTCTAAAGATTATAGATTGATTGGGGTTTGTTAGTAAATTTTTAATACTCTGTATAAATTTTATTGAATAATTATAAATTGTAGATAAATAAAAAAATTAAAAGAATTTTAAAAAATTAATAACTAGACCACTCAACCCAAACTTAAAAGAAATTAGAGAGTTGAATTGGGTTGCGTAAATTTTGGATGGATTGAGTAAAAAAAATGGGTAAGTTCAGCATTTTACATTACCAAAAATAGCATTAAATCTCTAACAAATCTCCCAAAATCTCTCCCATCCACTACTCCATCTCCTTTTTAAGCCCCATTCATCCCCTCCGTTTTCCTCACACCGCAATTGCTTCCTTCTTCCTCCTCACCACACTACACACACCCCTTCCACTTTTCCACATCCAGAGGAAGCAGGTTTCCCCCCGCCTCCTTCCTCTGCCGCCATGGCCTTCTTTCACTCTCCCGCTCTTCTTCTTCTACTTTTCCTATCTCTTCCATTCTCAGTTCAATCTCAGCTTTCTCTCCATTATTACCAGAAGACTTGCCCGGATTTTGCACAAATCGTTCATGACACTGTTGCTCGCAAGCACGCTACTAGCCCTGTCACGGCCGCTGCATCTATGCGCCTCTTCTTCAGCGATTGTTTGGTTGGAGGCTGCGATGGCTCTGTTCTTGTTTCATCCAATGTCTTCAACCACGCCGAGCGCGATGCTGAACTCAACCGCGATCTTCCTGGTGATGCCTTTGACGTCGTCACTCGAGCGAAAATTACCTTAGAGCTCTCCTGCCCTGGCATCGTCTCTTGCTCCGACGTGTTAGCGCAGGCGACTAGAGATCTCATCGCGGCCGCAGGCGGACCATCGTACAAAGTTGAGTTAGGGCGAAAAGATAGCCTCGTCTCCAAAGTTTCAGACGTGGAAGGCAACATTCCAAAACCGAATCAATCGATCGACGAGTTGATCAAGCTATACGCAGCGAAAGGCTTCACGATTCAAGAAATGGTAGCGCTATACGGCGGACGCACGATCGGATTCTCAAATTGCAGGGAATTCAGCGACCGGCTCTTCAACTTCGGCAAAAACACACCAACAGATCCTGAGATTAATTCGAAATACGCGGAGGCGTTGAAGAAGTCCTGTGCCGATTACGAGAAGAATCCAGCAAGTTCGGCGTACAGCGACCCTGTAACGCCAGGGAAGTTCGACAACGTATACTACCAGAATCTGCTGAGAGGAATGGGACTGTTGGCGTCGGATCACGCGCTGGTGAAGGATCCGAGGACAAGGAAATTCGTGGAGATGTATGCAGGAAACCAGGCATTATTCTTCAAGGATTTCGGAGAGGCGATGGAGAAGATGAGCGTTCGAGAGGTGAAAACTGGCGGGAAAGGAGAAGTGAGGACAAGATGCGATGCGTTCAATTCAATCAACCATTAGGCCATTTTTTTTCAAGATTGATTTGGGGAAGTTTATAGGTGGAAGAGAGTGAGAGGAACAGGGAGAGGAAGATTGTAATTGTGGTTATTTCATGTTTTAATGAACTGAATTTTCTTCGTTTATTTATTTATTTTTTTAAATCTCTCTCTGCTGACAAATGGTAATAGAGTCCACTCATGTTCAAGAGCTGCGAGCTATGAACTGTTACAAATGGGTATGTTGAATTGGTGTGGGCTCTCCATTGGGCTTTGAATGGTTTGGGCTCATTCTATTGAACTGGTGTGGCCCTATCTCATGATTCTATTGGGAAAACAGATTATCGACTTAAAATTAATTTTAAATTAATGACTATTGCAATGTTACTATATTTTTATTTGAAAAATCGTTTAGTTTTATTTTCATTTATTTTAATAGATTTGGATAAAAAAATTTAATTTTTATATAAGCCTTGTTTTATTTTAAATAAAATAAAATAATTAAAGTTAAGCCTCTGTTTACAAGTACTTATTAGTTAAATTTGATTTTTCAAAATTAGTAATTGCCAGTTTATCAATTTAAATGTACTTATCAGTTAAATTTCAAAATTTTTATTTACGAAAAACATTTATTTCCAAGTGTGCAGTAAGGATGATTGCAAGCACTTATAGGTAAGTTGTCTCGTTCTTACCTTTTTAATATTACAATAATGATATATAAAAAAACAAATCATAACACTTTTAGTTTTATAAAAAAATTATAAAATTTCAATAATAATTTTACATTTAAAATACTGATGAAAATTTAAAAAGTATTTTATTATTAACAAATTTTAATGGAAAACGTTAAACTTATATTTCTTAATTACTCTTGAACTTAAAAATAAAAATAAAATGTATTAAATTAGAAGAATGATTTGGGAATAAAAATATATTTTTTAATAAGTATGTTTTAACATATTTTTAAAGATTAAAAATATTATTGAAAGTTTAAGTATTTTAAAGATATATACTTTTTAATTTATAGAAATTTAGATTTGTGTTTGGGACAAAATAATAATAATAATAATAAGTAATTAAAAGGAAAAAGAGAGATAGAATGATGGAATTGTGTGTGGAACATTATAATTCCAATCCAAAAAGCGGAGAATTGCTTGTGCCGTTTCTAGAGGACAAGAATAATTTATTTATTTTCTTAAACTTTCTCTCTCCTATTTTTTTTTTCTTTTTTATTTAAATATTACTCAAAATTATAAAATATTAATTATGGTATTTATCAATTTATAAAATGTTAAATAATTATCTACCCATTTAAATTTGCTTATGTTTGATCGTGCTCCAAAAAATCTACTTAGAATGACATGGAAAAGAAAGTCTACTTTTGATCGCGAAAAATGCTGTATCTAGAGAAGGAATGCTCGGGTGGTTCGTAATTGTGTTATGCTTACAAGTAAAAACACCTGAGACAGAAATAATTTAATTAGACTAATTCAAAGTCAATAAGGTTTTTAAATGGCAGTTTTGGACAAAACAGTGAATAGATTAAATGTTGAAAAACAGAGAGAAAAAAAATGTGAATTTTGAAAATTTAGAATTAAAAATTAAAAAAAAAATCAGAATCTTTATATAAACAGCTAATGAAATTGACCAGTGAGAAGAAAACGAGGAAGGGAACTATAAAAATCGAAGTGTGTGATTTATTTGACAGAGAGAGTGGAGAATGGACTGTTTCTAAAACCACGGAAAATAGAAATAGAAAATAAATAAATAAATAAATAAATAAATAAATAAATAAATAAAGGAAAATGGCTAGCCTTCAGCGTTGACCGGTCAACCAAATAATCAGACCCACACAAACAAACAAAACTGCAACCCACAGCTGTAGTAGACGCCCTAAAACAACTCACTCGCTCCTCTTCCTCACGCTACATTTCTCCCTCTATCTTTTTCGTCACTCTAATCTCTGTACAATTGGATTCCGATTAGGTTCTTGCAGTATTTGGGTTTCAGCACTGAGGCGGTGCCCCTGGGTTTTGGTTTCTATTTTTTGGTTTTGGTTTTCGCATGTATGGGTGGCAATGGCAAGTTCCGGTGGAAATCCATCTTCTCCCATCGTCGTTCTTCTTCTAGTTTTAGGGTCGAATCCAAGGAGCCTCCTAACGAGTTCATTTGCCCAGTTTCTGGATCCTTAATGGCCGACCCGGTTGTTGTCTCTTCCGGCCAGACCTTTGAGCGTCTTTCTACGCAGGTTTGCAGGAGTTTGGGGTTCTCCCCTGTGTTAGAGGATGGCTCGACCCCAGATTTCTCCACTGTGATTCCGAATTTGGCTATGAAGAAGACGATTCTCCATTGGTGTGAGGAGTCCGGTGTCAGGAATTCTCAGGCGCCTGATTACGACTCCGTGGAGAAGATTGTTAGAGCACTGATGGACAAGGACAAGGACAAGGACAAGGAGAAGCCTCAGGTCGGAATTAGGGATTTATTAGCGGGGGTATCGGATTTGCCGCCGGTGAATTTTTCGCACGCCGTGACGGAGTTGGGCCACCGTCCAGAACGTTACTACACGAGCTCATCGGAGGAATCGGTCATCGTCGGAGGGAGTCCGGGGACTCCGCTGCCGTTCACGACTCGACCTGGGTGTTATTCCTCTTCGTCTTCTTCCTGTGAAGTTGTGGAAAACGAAGCGCTCATCCCAACCATAGGCCCTAATTCATCGATATCCCAAGACGAGAAGGAATTGTTATCGAAGCTCACGAGCCCTGATGTGTTTAAGCAAGAAGAAGGCGTTATTTCGCTTAGAAAAATCACGAAAGAAAATGAGAAAATTAGGGTTTCGCTTTGTACGCCTCGGATTCTCTTATCTCTCCGCCCTTTGATTACATCGAAATACTCCGCCGTACAAATCAACGCCCTCGCCTCTCTGGTAAATCTCTCCCTCGAAAAGCTAAACAAGCAAAAGATCGCACGGTCAGGGCTGGTTCCGAACTTAATCGACGCGCTAAAAGGAGGACATGCCGAAGCGCAAGAACACGCCGCCGGAGCACTCTTCAGCCTAGCCTTGGAGGACGAAAATCGGATGACAATCGGAGTTCTAGGCGCACTGCCGCCACTCCTTTACGCACTCCGATCGAATAGCGAGATAACTCGAAAGGATTCCGCTCTTTGTCTATACAACCTAACAATGATACAGAGCAACCGAGTGAAGCTCATCAAACTCGGCGCCGTAACGACTCTACTCTCCATGGTGAAATCAGGTAGCTCAATGAATTGGCTGCTGCTGATCCTCTGCAACATTGCCGTGTGCCAGGAGGGAAGATCGGCAATGCTAGACGCCAACGCCGTCGGGCTCTTGGTCGGAATGCTGAGGGAGAAAGAACTGTACTCGAAATCGACTCGCGAGAATTGCGTTGCGGCATTGTACGCACTCAGCTATGGAAGTATGAGGTTCAAAGGACTGGCGAAGGAAGCCGGAGCAATGGAGGTTTTGAGGGAGATTGCTGAAAGAGGAAGTGATAGAGCGAGAGAGAAGGCGAAGAAGATATTGGAGAGGATGAAGATGAGAGGGACATTCAATGAAGACGATGACGACGAAGAAGAAGACGCCAATGGCGGTGAGTCGAGTTTCGAAAGAGGCGGACTCAGTTTGAGTCGGTACCGAAACGGCGGGGGAAGAAGTCCCAGATCGGCTAATACGACGCCGTTTTGATTCCTTCTTCTTCCTATTCGATTATTGGGTCTGTCCTTGTTTGTAAACAATGTAATTAATGGTCTTTTTTTCTTCCTTTAAAAAAAGACGATAAAGTGAAATTGGAAGAATGCTAATTTTTAATTTTGATTTTAATTTTTTTTTGTAGTTGTGATATTTCAGTATTTTCTTAGGCCTAGACATTTATGGTAGATGGGTAATTACAATGGAATTTTAATGATAATAATTATTATTAAGGCAACTTATGAAGGATATAAAAGTTATTTTTATAAATGAACTTATATTAATGGATTTATTTAAATAATCCACTTTGGACCGACTAGCTTTCTTATTTAATCATTTGTTGGTTCCACTTGCCTTTTCGTATGGGCTTAGAATTGGTCTTTTTATTTGCCACATATTGGTATGCTTTTAATAATTAACTTTTTTAAGTGGAATTATCTACTTCTGACCTCTCTCAACTCCCTTCTGACCATGGTTAAGTCTTCAAAACGATGCCGTTTTGTTTTCTCAGGCATCGAGCTTACTGACAGGGAATACAGGCCCCACATCCTTCTCTCTCTCTATATATATATGTCCATTCGTCAGTTTGAGTTTCACTCTCGTCCAGACTCCGCCGGCCGGTGACGTTGTCTGCTTGCCACTGGTACTCTTCAAAGCTGATCGCCATTTACAAGATTCCTCGACGTCATCCACCACCATGCCCATTTCCTTTATAAAATTTCATCTTCACTTTCTTTTTCTACTACTGCTTTCTGTGTTTCTGTTTCTCTTTACCTGTTCTTATGGCGCCCCCTTTTGCTGCCGTTTTTCTCATCTTTCTTTCCATATTCACTACCTTCTCCACTTCCTTTTCCTCCACCATTGGAGTCGGATACATTTCGCGGCTTCTTGATATCCAGGATCGCGAGAGGGCGCCTTCGTCCGTCCAAGTTGCTGCGGCTCGTGGAGTTCTTCGTCGCCTTCTTCCTTCGCACCTCTCCAGCTTTGACTTTCAAATTCTCTCTAAGGTACTTGGAATTTTAGGAGATTTTAATTTGTTTTGTTCGAGCGCGGGAGTATAGCTCTATCCGATTCTCGGAAATTTGGGAAATGTAAAAACTCTGTGGGAGACGAACACGACTCTCCACAATGGTATGATCACTTTGAGTATAAGCTCTCATGATATTCCTCACTTATAAACCCATGACCATTCCCTAAATTAGCTGACGTGGGACTTTCATCATCCAACACTCTCTTCGTCTAGTCTGCTCCTACTATGTTCATTCTTCTCACGGTTTATGTATTCGTCATTTTTCCCAGGACGCATGTGGTGGGGAATCTTGCTTTCTGATCAGGAACCATCGTGCGTTCAGGAGACCGGGGGATCCTGAAATTTTGTAAGTAAAATGGATTCATACACATCATTCACCGCACAATGTTCCTTGTAAATTAAAATGGAGATTGAAGTGGATACTTATAACACGAACACAACTTCCAATCTTTTCTAGAATCGCTGGTGTCACTGGAGTGGAGATTTTAGCTGGTTTGCATTGGTATTTAAAGCACTGGTGTGGTGCACACATATCATGGGATAAAACTGGTGGCTCACAGCTATTTTCTGCACCTAAGCCTGGCTCATTACCTCTTATTAAAAGTGACGAAATTATTGTTAAGAGGCCTATTCCCTTAAACTATTATCAAAATGCAGTTACATCAAGCTGTAAGGTTTCACTGAAATTGCATTAGAATACTTCGTGTTCCTCCAATAACAGTGATTTGGTTACTGTTTCTATAAATATGTTTCTATTTTAATTTCCTCTGCTTTTCAAAGACTCTTTTGCCTGGTGGGACTGGGAGAGATGGGAGAAGGAAATAGATTGGATGGCTCTTCAGGGTATCAATATGCCTCTGGCATTTACTGGGCAGGAGGCTATCTGGCGGAAAGTATTTCAAGTATGTTTCCCTCTTCTTATCTGCATAATTTTTCCCCTACTGTCGTTCGACATAACGATATATTGAGTAGTACCATAGAAAATATAACTGTCAATGCCATTCTTTCTGCGGTAGAAGATGTTTAAGAAGTCAATTTATCCTACAAATGCTATAACCCCTGACTTGTCTTCATATTTATGACGATTGGAACAATATTATTGTGAGATCCCACATCGGTCGGAGAGGGGAATAAAATATTCTTTATAAACGTGTGGAAACCTGTCCCTAACAGATGTATTTTAGAAATCTTGAGGGAAAATTCAAAGAGTACAATATCATTTCAAGCTTCTTTTGTTCACTGATTTCTTCATCATATGCTAGCGTAGCTTTCCTGTCTTTTCTGGCTTTATCTGAATTGTAGTTTACTTGTTTCCTGCATTTTAATTTAATGTCATAAAGTGGCCAAAGCGAAGAAGTTGTCTCTAATAATTTTTTGAGGTTCTTATCTTATTGCAACTTACTTGCTTCAAAGTCTAGATTGATCTCACTCCAGACTATATTTGCAGAAATTTAATATAAGCAACTCAGATTTGGACGATTTCTTTGGAGGTCCAGCCTTTCTTGCATGGTCACGTATGGGAAATTTGCACAAGTGAGTAGTTGTTTTGTAATTGCATTGAAATCAAATCATACTGTCAGATGGTTGACTAAAATGAAAGAGGGAATGATAATATAGAATCATCATCACAACTAGCTACCTCGAATATGCAGAGAGTGGCTTAAAAGTATCATGTTTATTAGCTCTACTATTAAAAATCTTCATATAATTTATTATAGTTTCCTTTCGAATATCAACCTTCTGATAACAGATGGGGTGGGCCACTTCCGCATAGTTGGTTTGATCAACAGCTTATTCTGCAGAAAAAAGTTATTGGCAGAATGTTTGAGCTTGGAATGACTCCAGGTATCGAATGTCAGTCAATATATTGATTTTATGACATGTTCTTGCAATGCAAAAGAGTTCAAAATATTCAAACTTGATATTCTGTTCCATTAAATATTTTCACTTTGATATTGGCTTTTTTTTTTTTGGAATTGCTGTTTTAAAGCTTCAGTGCTGTTGCAGACTATTTTTTTGTTTTTTACTATAGTTTGACTTCTAATTGCGTTGAAAAGAATCCACAACTTAGAAATTTCTTATGCTGGGAATAATCTGAGGTCCATGGTTTTCTTTTTCCTCCCTTTCAGTTCTCCCAGCCTTTTCAGGTAATATTCCTGCTGCTTTCAAACAAATATATCCATCAGCGAAGATAACACGCTTAGGAAATTGGTAACTCCCCACCTCCTTATCTGATATCAAATTCATATTTTTATGGTTAATACTGTTTCTTTACTCTTGCATCTCTTTGACGTCTGCTTAGAATATATTCTGATACACTCTGAAACCAGAGTTAGTCAAGTCCATGATACCAAGGATGTTCTTTTAATTATTGACAATATCAATACGCTATGTCATACAATTGCTCTGCAGGTTTTCTGTTCAAAGTGACCCTAGATGGTGCTGCACGTACCTCCTTGATGCCATGGACCCTTTATTTGTTGAAATCGGTAGAGCATTTATTGAGCAACAACTGAAAGGTATTTTGGACCTATGCTAGTGAACTGTATGAGGATATGATATTTCATGCCTTTTCGTTATATGGTAATTGATTATTCCAATTGTGTCTGAACTTACCTTTTTTCGTCAGAATATGGAAGAACTTCCCATGTATACAATTGGTATGCTACTATTTTCCTCTGATTCCTCGATGGTTAGCTTACTTACATTAGAATGAGAGAAAAGCAAACGAGAACAAACGTTTAAAATTGGTGCAGTATTGGTTTGGACAGTCTTTAAATTGCGTCTTTTCTTCATTTTTCAATCATCATTAGAATATCTTTTCATCCTACAGTGATACCTTTGACGAGAACACTCCACCTGTGGATGATGTGGAATACATCTCTTCATTAGGTGCAGCTATTTTTGGAGGAATGCAGGCGGGAGATTCTAGTGCTGTCTGGCTTATGCAGGTGATTGTTGGTTTGTTTTGCCATATAAGGGTTCTTTATGCCAATTCATTAAGGTTCTCATATCACTAAACTAGTGTAACTTGATAATGAAATTTGTTCATATACAGGGCTGGATGTTTTCATATGATCCATTCTGGAGGCCTCAACAAATGAAGGTTACAAGAATTCTTTCATTCCCTCCAATGTTCAATCGTCATTAGATCATTTCCATATCAAGGCTCTACTTGGGGAATCCTTGGCTCAAATCCTTTGTTATTTATAAATGCTAATTCATTATATGATACTATACCTTCTTCTATCTATTCAATCTCAAGGCTTTCTTTCACTCTTGGTTGACGTTGGTGACGCATTTTTCAGGCCCTTTTACATTCTGTGTCTTTGGGAAGGCTAGTAGTCCTTGATTTGTATGCTGAAGTGAAACCGATCTGGATAGCTTCTGAGCAATTTTATGGAGTCCCTTACATCTGGAAAGTCACTATTCCTTTCTTTTGCTCGATTTTAATGTTGAGGTCTAATAAACTGGAAGAAATTTTCCTTGATTAAGCATAAAGTTAGCTAATCTTTTTGCTATTTTTATGAATGTTTTAAACTTTTGTTAAATTGTATCAGTTTACAATGTCTCAATAATTCTGCTGTCTTGTCCCAATGTCCTGGACCATATATAGTGCCTTTGGTGTCAGCTCAGGGTTCCAAGACTAAGTTGATTTAGTGCTTCTTTAGCTGTGTGCTATATTTCAATGAATGTATGATGCTCGAAAATTTAGCTATAATGATATCAATTGCCTATTGCAGGTGCATGCTACATAACTTTGCTGGAAATGTTGAAATGTATGGCATCTTAGATTCAATAGCATCTGGACCAATTGAAGCTCGTAGTAGTCCATACTCGACAATGGTAAGTTTATTATCTGTTAGACGAACACGACTCTCCACAATGGTATGATATTATCCACTTTGAACATAAGCTCTCATGTCTTTGCTTTGGGCTTCCCCAAAAGGCCTTCATACCAATGGAGTTAATATTCCTCCCTTATAAACCCATGATCATTCCCTAAATTAGTCGATGTAGGACTTTCATCATCCAACACCTCCCCTCGGACAAAGCACGCCTCCCCTTAATCGAGGCTCAACTCCTTTGGAGTCTTAGTCATTTTTTACTGCCTTCGTACCTTCGAGAAGGCTTGACTCCTTTTTTCTTTTTGGAGTCCTTTGTTCGACATTCGAGGATTTGCCAATCTATTGGCACGACTAAGTTTAGGGCATGACTCTGATACCATGTTAGACGAACACGACTCTCCACAATGGTATGATATTGTCTACTTTGAGCATAAGCTCTCATGACTTTGCTTTGGGCTTCCCCAAAAAGCCTCATATCAATGAAGTTAGTATTCCGCACTTATAAACCCATGATTATGATTATTCCCTAAATTAGTCGATGTGGGACTTTCATCATCCAACATTATCTACCATTATTTTAAATCTAGTTGTTATTATAATGTTTTGGCAGCATTATTTAATTGCTACAACTATACTAATTTTCAAATGAACTCCAAATTTTTTAAAACTAAATATTGGGTGCTTTTTCTCTCATCCACAAGTACTATATTTTGGATTTCGAGTATATGTATACATATATCTGTAACTCTGAAGAGATGAACTGATTCTCTTTCTTTCGTTTTTCACTTGCTTGGAAGACTATTACGGTTGATCATTAGATTATGAAAGTAGTATAGCTGACATTGTTGAGAATTGTTGGGAGAAGAATCTCACATCAGCTAATTAAAAGGTTGATCATGGGTTATTGAGTAAGAATACATCTCTATTGGTACGAGATATTTGGAAGAACCAAAAGTAAAGCCATGAGAGCTTATGCTTAAAGTGGACAATATCATACCATTGTGAACGTCCGTAATTCCTAACAGACATATCTATTTCAATCTCCCTCTCACGTTCTCTATTTCTAAACGTCTGTTAGGTGTATCATTTATTTGCAATGTTCAAATTCGTGTTCTTTTTCATCACCTATGCTCTCATTTGAAGGTCGGGGTAGGAATGTCCATGGAAGGAATAGAGCAGAACCCTGTTGTGTATGATCTCATGTCTGAAATGGCTTTTCAACACAACAAAGTTGATGTCAAGGTACATGTTTTGTGTATTATTCATGTTCCGCATTTGGAAAGCTGACAAATAACCTCGCATAGAATAATATGGTCCTTTCATTTCCAGAAATGGCTGTATCAATATTCAATTAGACGCTACGGTCATTCAGTCCCTTCAATACAAGATGCCTGGGATGTATTATATCACACCATCTACAACTGCACTGATGGTGCCTATGTAAGTACAAAAGAACTGTTGTCTGTGCTTACAGTTTGGTTGCTTTAGAATGGTCGTTTCTTTTCTTTTCTTTCTGATGCAAAGTCTGTGACTCATGTTCAAACATGCCATGCTAACGCATCCTGGTCAACATGGAAAAGGACAAAAACAGGGACGTAATTGTGGCATTTCCTGATGTTGATCCATCCTCAATCGAGGGGTCTGACCGACACGACGCAGGTAGACTCCAGGATGCAATATTTGAACGACCTCATCTTTGGTATCCTACTTCTGAAGTAATTCGTGCATTAAAGCTTTTCATTGCCAGCGGTGATCAACTTTCTGGCAGTAACACATACAGGTTGACCCACGAATTCAAAATATCCTATTATTAAAGTTTGGATCACTGAATATGCATTCGTTGTTACTCTTAGGTATGACCTTGTAGACTTGACTAGACAAGCTCTAGCCAAATACTCGAACGAACTGTTCTTTAGAATTGTCAAAGCATATCAGTTGGATGATTTGAATACAACGGTGAGCTTAAGCCAGCAGTTCCTTGAACTTGTAAATGATATAGATACATTAGTGGCTTGTCATGAGGGATTTCTTCTAGGACCTTGGCTACAAAGCGCCAAGCAACTCGCCCAAGATGAACAGCAGGAAAAGCAGGTTCAGTTTTGAGTCCACTCTACCAATTATGGGACAGTTATATTAACTGACATTCGATAGCTGACTAATCTCAAATTACAGTATGAGTGGAACGCAAGAACTCAAATAACCATGTGGTTTGACAACACAGAGGAGGAAGCAAGTTTACTTCGTGATTATGGTAATGATCATTACTCTGTGTCGATATATAGTCACTGAGATGTTGAATTGTATTGTATTTGTACATTCAAATTCAGGAAATAAGTACTGGAGTGGTCTGTTGAGCGATTACTACGGTCCTCGAGCTGCAATATACTTCAAGTTCTTGAAAGAAAGCTTAGAGAATGGGTATGCATTTCCATTGAGTAATTGGAGGAGTGGGTGGATAAAGCTTACAAATGACTGGCAAAGCAGCAGGAAGGTTTACCCTGTGAAAAGCAATGGTGATGCTGTGGACACATCGCGGTGGCTTTACAACAAATACTTGCAAGTACTTGAAAGCTACGATCAATGAATCAGGCAAGATACATCTAATTAAGATTTAAATGCTGCATAATGTGTCTCTTCTAGTTTCTGTGTGTCACCAGTTCCCCCGTGTTCAAATTCTTATTATTTTGCAGGTCAGCCCACGGATATGTTCTATCGCGCATCTCTTTTAAGATAAATAAATTGATATCGACTCTTCAGAATTTGGTAACTTCAACTCCATTAACAATCACGATTGAATCTTTTTTCAGATTACACCCATTATCTAAAGTTTTAGACCAATAAACTCATCGAAGAAAATTGAAAGATTCACAGGATGAACGGCCCGTTCAAATACGAGATATCCAAACTCATCTATAAGTAAAAAAAATTGTAAACAATAAAAATAAAGGAAAAAAATTCAGTTCATTAAAACATGAAATAACCACAATTACAATCTTCCTCTCCCTGTTCCTCTCACTCTCTTCCACCTATAAACTTCCCCAAATCAATCTTGAAAAAAAATGGCCTAATGGTTGATTGAATTGAACGCATCGCATCTTGTCCTCACTTCTCCTTTCCCGCCAGTTTTCACCTCTCGAACGCTCATCTTCTCCATCGCCTCTCCAAAATCCTTGAAGAATAATGCCTGGTTTCCTGCATACATCTCCACGAATTTCCTTGTCCTCGGATCCTTCACCAGCGCGTGATCCGACGCCAACAGTCCCATTCCTCTCAGCAGATTCTGGTAGTATACGTTGTCGAACTTCCCTGGCGTTACAGGGTCGCTGTACGCCGAACTTGCTGGATTCTTCTCGTAATCGGCACAGGACTTCTTCAACGCCTCCGCGTATTTCGAATTAATCTCAGGATCTGTTGGTGTGTTTTTGCCGAAGTTGAAGAGCCGGTCGCTGAATTCCCTGCAATTTGAGAATCCGATCGTGCGTCCGCCGTATAGCGCTACCATTTCTTGAATCGTGAAGCCTTTCGCCGTGTATAGCTTGATCAACTCGTCGATCGATTGGTTCGGTTTTGGAATGTTGCCTTCCACGTCTGAAACTTTGGAGACGAGGCTATCTTTTCGCCCTAATTCAACTTTGTACGATGGTCCGCCTGCGGCCGCGATGAGATCTCTAGTCGCCTGCGCTAACACGTCGGAGCAAGAGACGATGCCAGGGCAGGAGAGCTCTAAGGTAATTTTCGCTCGAGTGACGACGTCAAAGGCATCACCAGGAAGATCGCGGTTGAGTTCAGCATCGCGCTCGGCGTGGTTGAAGACATTGGATGAAACAAGAACAGAGCCATCGCAGCCTCCAACCAAACAATCGCTGAAGAAGAGGCGCATAGATGCAGCGGCCGTGACAGGGCTAGTAGCGTGCTTGCGAGCAACAGTGTCATGAACGATTTGTGGAAAATCCGGGCAAGTCTTCTGGTAATAATGGAGAGAAAGCTGAGATTGAACTGAGAATGGAAGGGATAGGAAAAGTAGAAGAAGAAGAGCGGGAGAGTGAAAGAAGGCCATGGCGGCAGAGGAAGGAGGCGGGGGGAAACCTGCTTCCTCTGGATGTGGAAAAGTGGAAGGGGTGTGTGTAGTGTGGTGAGGAGGAAGAAGGAAGCAATTGCGGTGTGAGGAAAACGGAGGGGATGAATGGGGCTTAAAAAGGAGATGGAGTAGTGGATGGGAGAGATTTTGGGAGATTTGTTAGGGAGGAGGCTGCTAATGACCTTCAAATTCTTGCCATTCATGACTGAATCAAACCCATTGCAAGGTCTTGTTGTGCAAGTGCCAGGTGGGTGGATGGGAGAGGTTCTATGGAATGATTTTGTTAGAAGATTTAATGCTATTTTTGGTAATGCAGAATGCTGAAGTTAGATATGAAGATGGAGAAATTTTCAGTATAATCAGGTACTTTTTAGTGGTCCTTGCGCCAGATGAAAGAAAGAGAAAAAAAAGACGCGATGAGTGCAGTAAACCAAGAACATTCATATTGATTTCTTCCCCCGCCCTTCTTTATCCAAGAAATGTTATTAAAATTCACCGCATAATCACCCAAATACTCTAACGCAACTTTTTCTATGAAAAAGACGCTGATGCAGTAAGAACATTTCAAAATTTATGAATCTTCAAGCGACAAATACAGAGGATTCAGTGAAAATTGGGTTTGTCTGAAGTGGGGCAACGCCAATTTTACAATCCTTGAAGATGGGCAGATCGATATCAGTGGGTGAGGTGAGTATCTATTCATCTCTCTTTCTCTACAATCTGGGTACTGTTCTTGTTTTCCTTGGGTTTGTTCTCAATTTAGAGATCAATATATTTTCGGGATCTGGGTTTGCTTCGATTAGCGATGGGGAAGCGCAGAGGAGAAAGTTGTTGCCGTGATCATGGTCGGCGGTCCCACAAAAGGTACGGGAATTTCTTACTCCTCCTCAAATCGTTTTGGATGGAAGTTCATCTGAATTCATTTTGATGAAGTTAGAGATGAATCTAGAATTATAGTTCTAATACAAAGTTTTGATGGAACAGGAGCTTGCCTAAAGACTATGTAAGATTGGATCAAACAGTTGTATACGTACGAAACTCAGATCAAAACGCCTGCATAAGTTGTATTCGAAACACGCATTCATTTTCATCGGTTCGAAAACCAAGTCTTTGTGTGTGAATCCTTGCAGAATGTTCCTTGAAATGCTCTTGGCTTATACCCGACCTATTGGCGAGTGGAGATGGTACGAAAGGGTGTTATTATGTAAAAATTAATAGATAAAAAAAAAAAAAAAGGAAATTACATTTTGAACTTTTAGGAATGGAAAACAGCAAGCAATTTGAAAAGACATCCAATAATTGATTTATTATGCCGAAGACGAAGACTCCAGAGTCAAAAGAGCGAGTCTTCGTCAAGCTGCAGCAGCAGAGGAGGATAGCGGGAGGAAGCGAGACCATCATCGGAGGCAGAGGAAAATGGTTCACGCCAGGCTTGAAGACGCCACCGGTTTTAAGGCGGAGCTGATCGGAAGTGCCTGGACGGCCGCCGTTAAAGCTCACAAGTATGCAGAGAAGCCATTTCTCCTTGAAACTAGCAGCAGAGACTTTTCCATCATCAGTTTCCCCGGATCTTGGTCGGCGGAAGGCTGGTTCTCCGGTTCCGATTCCGATTCCGATTCATGTTTTGGAGAAACGAAGATCAACACCCAACTGTTTCCGTCCATCAGGAGCATCGGCGTTAACGATTATGCGCTCGTCAACTCTGCGTTTCTCCACAGATTTGAAGCCATTTTAGGGAAGCTGATCAAGGAGGTACACTTTGCCCTAAATTTTCCACCTATTTCCTCGAATTTCGCTTTCTCAAAGTTCTTTGGATTCAGAGAATTTCCATTTATTCAATCCTTCTCCACTTTTGTAATCATATAAATCAATGATGGAGCAATAGTGAAAGATGATAGAATAAAATAATAATAATAGTAACTGATGATAGAATAAAAAAATAATAATAACTTTTTGCTTTCCCAAGATTTAATAAGACTCTAAAATTTCAATTTGTTTCTATTTTAATAAAATAACGAATGATTTATTATACACAAAATTTAAAATAAAAAAATAAAAGAAACATTTTTTTAGAGTTCAAAAATCTAGACAAATTCAAATGCTATGCAAATGACTAAATTTAGAATTTCTAACTCTGACCCTTGCTGCTTCTTTTGACTATTGGTAATGGGATTTTGTTTCTCAGGTCATGCGAGTGAGTAAGGCAGTGGTGTTTACTGGCCACTCTGCAGGCGGTCCGATAGCCATTCTTGCAACCATTTGGCTATTGGAAGAGCAAAGGAAGAACTCGAACTCAAACTCGAACACAGACACCAACTCCTCCACTCCTCCAAAATGTATCACATTTGGATCTCCCCTTGTTGGTAATTTCATTCTCTCCCATGCTCTCAAGAGGGAGAAATGGTCTATCCATTTCATACACTTCATCATGAGATACGACATTGTCCCACGAATCCATCTCGCTCCCCTACCTTCCTTGCAACCAGTACAACTGCAAACCATCCTCAACTCCTTGAACTCGAGATCTCTCGAATCGTCGTCAAATGGGGATGTAACTACTGCATTCTTCATGACAGTGATGAGCAATGCATCGAGTGTGGCAAACAATGCAGCCTGCCATCTTATGGAAAGCACTAGTCTTTTGCTAGACAACTTGAAAAGCTTTATCAAATTGAGTCCTTATAGCCCTTTTGGGACTTACATTTTCTGTACCGAGAGTGATGAGGTGGTGGTGCTCACCAACCCGCATGCTGTTTTACAAATATTATTTTACTCCTGTCAGTTGAACTCTGAGAGCGAATGGGGTCAGGTAGCTCATCAGAGTTTAAAGGATCATTGGGAGTACGAATCTAAAATGCACCAAAACTTGGAGCTCCTGCATGCTATTCGTCTGGATGAGTTGCACAAGCTTCCTCTGTCTTTGACTGGAAGGAGCACGCCAATCACTCAAGCCTTGAATCGACTCGGCCTAGTAAGTTTTTTTAATCTTCAACCTCTCTTTCTCGACTTAGAGCATCAACATACCCGAAAAAGTTGTTGCTTGCCATCCATGGACCTACCTTGGATTCTAATTTTCATGAATGTGAAATTACAGAGTACGAGGGCTTTATTGAATCTTCGTGCAGCTGGCACATACGAAGAGAAAAAGATGAAAAACCAAGTAAGGATGGAAGCAAAAATGCAATATATCGAGCAAGGATTGAATTGGCTAGAAGAAAACTACAGAGCTGTATGTAGGGTTGATGGTATGGGATATTATGATGCATTCAAACGCCAAAAGAACGACACAGACTTCAAAGCCAATATCAAAAGGCTTGAGCAAACAGGTCTATGGGATGAGATCCTAGGAATGCTCAAAATGTATGATCTCCCTGATGAATTTGAAGGCAATGACGAATGGATACAACTTGGAACCAAGTATCGCCGTCTCGTTGAGCCTTTAGATATTGCTAATTACTACAGACACTCTAAGAATGATGACACTGGTCCTTATCTGAAAATGGGAAGGCCGAACCGTTACAGATTTACACAAAGATGGCTCGAACATAATCAAAAGATGACAGAATACAGTGAAGAATCAATTCTTTGGGCAATGGTGGAGGAGCTTCAAATCCAAACCAGAACCAGAATGTATGTAGAGCATTCAAGAGAAATCATTGAGCTGGAGAAGAAGATGAAGAGATGGGTCAACGAGATTGGAGAGGATATGTTGTTAAAGAAATCTACGTTCATGGAGTGGTGGAAGACACTTCCTGAACAACACAGATCACAGTCTTGTCTTAAGGATGATATTCAAAGGATGGAGAAAAGGGACGATGCTATGATCTGGGAGTAGTCTGATCTTAATAAGTACTTAAATTCTTGGAGACTAGTGTCGGTTAGTCTTCTAGAACTCAGCATAAACAAGGATATATGATCCAGTGCAAGGCATAGCCTAATGAAAATGAGACTATCAGATAGTTTATTCTTCAGAATCCACTTTCAATTCTTTCGCAGCAATTGTTATAGTTTAACTAAAAAGACCACCCATGAACAATCAATATCTTCTTAATAACTTGCACCAGCTAAGTCAATATCAACAGCAAGTGAATACCCAGTATAGAAGTGGCCCATGCGTACATGCCGTGGGATTATCCTTCATAATTACCAATATGTGACAGAGAGCCCAATATACATAGAGAATTGTAGATAAGTTGAGATCAGCACCCTTGTTCTCGTTCAAAAGAATTAGAAAAGCCATAGCTGCAGTTATTCAGCAATCACATTATTCAATCCATCGTAAGCAAAACAGATAATGGGACCGCAATCAAAGGCAGATCTACCCAATGCCCTAATGAATACATGATATACAAGCTTACATGGTGAAATTTATTTCTGTGGAAAAATCAACCAATTACAGAATCTATCTTCCAGCAATTATGTCCCGCCACTGCCAGTATAGAACAGACGCTAAGACCCTTTATATTCAGTGAAACACTACCACAAGCTTAGTACTAGAGAAATAAAATGGGTCATTCATCAAGAAGCTTCAAAGTGGCATTTCAATCCATTTAAGGCAAACTGTCATCTGCATCACTGTCTTTCAAGTTTAGATCATAATTTCTTGAAGACATAAATTTTTGAAGAAATGTTCTTTTTTCATTTTGAAATGAAAGAAAAAAGGGAACCCACTTTTATTAAGAAGAATCAACATACATAAAAAAGAACGCTGTCAAAATAGAACAGGTTAGAACCAAAAAGTTACAATTAAGGGTCCCAATCATTAAACATCAACACTAAAAGTGTAGTTTCTAAAGAAAAAAAAGTGAACTATAACCCAATGAAGATATGTTAAAATGCATCAAACTAAAGATTCTTCTATAACAATCCACGTTCAGTGTTCACTCCTCAGAAAATCTAACTTACATGTTGTATTCAATTGACAAATGTTAACAGTACTACCTAAAACAGTCATTAAAACAATAGTAAACCAACATGTCTAAACTCCAAAGAAAAACAAGTTAAGCTTTTACCTTTGACTGGTCTCAGACATTCAACTTCTGGTGCCGGCTATGTACATCAAAAGCATTGAACAATTAGTTGTGTGACATAGAAGTTATTACAAATATTTCCACATTTCATTTTACCGTGTATATACTCCTGGGAGTCTTGCCACATGCTACAAAACCATATATGAGTAGTCAATCACGACACTAAGTATCATAAAACCAGCAAGAATAAGGAGGAAAGTACTAACTAGAACAGTTTGAGGCATTTCTATGAAATATATGCAAATACAAATAAATAAGATGCGGACAAATATAAATGTTGTATCATTATTCCATGTATTCATTTCTATACCACCTTATCTATTCACATATCAAGTACGAAATAAGTCCTCTACATTGGCAAATGTATCATAAGATAAGAACCACACTCATGTACGAAGCAAATCAGTTTAAAGGTTCTCAATCTCATAACCATACTTCAACACCCAAATGCCACATCTATTGCTATGAAAAGCAGAGCAGACCACCATAATACCCAAGAGACGTACGAACAAAAAGGAAAAAAAAGGTGAGACCAGATGAACATAAACTCACAGAAACTGGACACTAGCTAAGACCTTGAAATCATGCTATAAGAACGTGCCAACAGGAACGTTGGGCTACCACAATCTACATTTGTTTCATTGTCAACATGGTCACGATCATATGACTTCCTGCAACCAGGACAGCGCCCATCCTCTTCAAGAATCCTTTTATGACAGAAAAGGCAAAGCCGAAATCCACAGAAACAAGGTAAGAAACTCGAGTCTGTAAAGTCCAAGTCTTCAAAGCAAATTGGACAAGATGAAGGCACAGGCATAACACCACCACAGGCCCAAGAGATGCCTCCATATCCAAAATGCTGGTCTGTATTCGGTAAACTAAGCTGCTTTGATAACGTAGGCAGACTCTGAGGACGAAAGGCATCATCAGGCCTCCATGCTCTGCAATTCATCGAAGCCCTCTGCGCAATTTTCCCTAGTTCAATACTCGAGTCACCATCTCCTATGCCCAACTCATTTCTGCTGTCTCCGCAAGAATCCAATTGAGAAACAACATTAGCGCTAGGGGAAGACTCTGAACATTGATCATGCTGCTTGTCAGTGGCGGCTAGGGCATCGGCAATAGCCTCCCAATCATCCAAGCAGTCATCATCTCCTTCTTCCTCCTCCGTTATACTCCCCGACTGACAACCACTAGAGCTGCTTCGGCAACTACTACTACTGCTACTCCCAGTAAAGTGAGGAACCGAATCATTACCACACAGGATACTACTCCCAAGACTAGGGGGGCTATTAGACGGCGACTCTGAAAAATCGCTGTGGTGGTGGACCGATCTGTTGTTCTGTTCTCCTATTTCCCTCGAATTTAATTTATTAGAGGAAAGATCATCATCTTTCCTCGTTTTAACGACCACTGAATCAAGACGATTGTCTTCGTTCCATTTTTTGTTCTTTACAGCACCTATAACTCGTGAACCCAAATCGATTAAACACAAATTCTCACAAGCATAAATCCCGTTCCATATATATATGCAATTAACAACAACAGAAAACATAACTATAAGTTATACCTCGAGAAAGCCATTGTTCCCGACGAACATCAAGCTTGGACTGCTTCAATTTGGAATACCTAACCTGAAACCCCCCACCAGAACAGTTACGACATATCAGAAAAAGAAAATCAACAGACGACAATCAACAAAAGAGGAAAAAAAAAAAAAACTCATCAGCATTAAAATTAAAAGAAAAAAATTAGAAGATTTACGTCGGAAAATAAAGAGAGAGAGAGTCCTCACCCTCTTCTTCTTGGGCAAGGGCAAATCTCCAGCGTTCGGAGCCAAAGAAACTGAAGCATTGGTAATCGAATCAGTAACCATGATTGAAGAGTTGAAATCGAAATGAAGGGAAGAAGTTCGCGAAAAACCCTAATTTGCGAGAATAATTGAGAAGACGACCTTGGAAGGAGAAAGAGAGATAATGGATAACGGAAACTACTCTGCTTCGCTCGCTCTTTTCCACAGACTAGAAAAACAGAGGGCCGAGATTTGATTTAAATATTTACCAAAATATCCCTCCGTTTTCCTAAATTCCCGGCCTTGCCCACCCTTGTCAAAATGGCTCTAAACAACGAATGAAACTACGTCGTTTATTATGTCCAACTCATTTGGGCTTTCTTTTGACCGAAAATGGGCCGACAAACCTAACATATTCTACCTAAATTAAATAATATAAATCAATAGTTTTTTTTTTTTTTTTTTTTTAATTTAGAAAAAAAAAGATTTTTAGTTAAAATATTATTTTGATCCGATTTCAAAGTAGAAAATAAATTTAAATAATTTAAATATAAAGAAAAAAAAAAGAAAAAGAATGAAGAATTTATTTTTATTTTTATTTTTCCTTATTTATTTGAAGGTTATGAGAGAAATAAATGTAAATATGTGTGAAGTATAAATTTATGATTAATTTAATGCAGAATTTAGAATTTAGGTTTATAAGTTAATTATATGAGATATAATTTAATGCCGCACCCGCGTTTTCTCACTCTTGCTTATTTCTCCACACGACAACATCTTCTTCCCCTACTCCCCGCGAGAAACATTTATACCTACCGGGTTCTGTCCGGCAATGTTGCCGGAATTTCGAGCGTCTTCGCTCCTGAGGTCTGACTCTGTATCCGTCTACAATTCCATTCGCCATGCCTCTCTCCGCCTCCGTGACACAGAGCCTGAAGCTTCGGATTCTCTCGTGCCTCACCAAGCTTTCCGACCGAGATACCTATTCTCTTGCTGCATCCGAGCTTGAATCTATTGCTCGGAGTCTTGACGTTAGTTCCTTGCCGATTTTCCTTTCCTGTATATACGCCATTGATGCCTCGGATAAATCGCTGGTGAGGAAGCAATGCGTTCGTCTCTTTGCTGTTCTCTCAGAGACTCATGGAAATTATCTTTCTCCTTACCTTGCGAAGATTCTCTCCAATATTACTCGCCGGTTCCGCGATCCTGATTCGTCAGTTCGATCCGCGTGCGTTAGCTCTGTAGCGGCATTAGCTTCTAATGTCACTAAACCGCCGTTTTCGACGTTTTTGAAGCCTTTAACTGATTCGCTTTTCACGGAGCAGGATTCCAATTCGCAGATCGGGGCGGCTTTGTCTTTGGCTTCGGCAATTGATGCAGCACCGGAACCGGATCTGCTTAAGCTCGGCAAACTCTTGCCGAGATTTGAGAAGCTTTTGAAATGCGAGAGTTTCAAGGCAAAGGCGGCACTCTTGACAATGATCGGGAGTATTATTGGATTGGATGGAGCTTTCGGAAATGGAGCTCTGAAAATTTTGGTCCCGTGCTTGGTTACAATCCTTAGCAGTGAGGATTGGGCGGCGAGAAAATCAGCGGCGGAGGCGCTGGGTAAACTAGCAGTCGTGGAGAGGGATGCTCTGGCGGAATTTAAGGCCGGTTGCTTGAAAACGTTCGAGAGTCGGCGATTCGATAAGGTTTCAATTTTTTAATGGGTTTAAAAATTAGTTATGAATCGAATTCAGATATATGATCTTGTTTTTCTAAATTTTTGATATAGGTCAAGGCCGTACGGGAGGCGATGAGTCAGATGCTGGAGGCATGGAAGCAGATTCCTGATCTCTCGGATGAGGCGTCTGCACCTTATTCCCAATCCTCCTCGAAAGGTAGCATGTTTTAACATTATCTTCAGTAAATGTTTTGCTAATTTCCTGCATGTCTTTTGAAATTGTTAACACTCGTCTGATCATTTTGGTCTTTCATTATGTTTTAGAAATCGCTAGTGATGGACGTTATCTACCTGGATCCAAGAATATTTCTTCTGCTTGTCTTGATGCTCCTCTTCCGAGGAAAAATAGTAGCCTGGTTGGCAGGTCTACACCACCCGATGCCTCGTCTGCGACGACGACGAGAAGGAGAAGCGCTTCGAACGGCGGTGACCAGAAAACAAGTTTGTCAATGTTCCAAAAGGTTGAGCGTAAGAAGCCTCTGGACTGGAAGGTGGAAGTCTCTGTTAGGAAGTCTCCCTCAGGAGATCTGAAGGAAAGAGATGAATACATACCAGATAGAAGGTTTAGTGAAAACACCAAGATTTCGAAACCAGAAACAAAACGGGCACTCTTCAATAAGATTTCTGACGATAAGATAATTAAATTCGGTGGGTTCAGGTCTGGATCTCGCGTAGTTCCCTGTCCCGAGGAGGGCCCTGAATCGACTGTTGTAGCAAGTAATGCAACCGACGATCTGCACAGGAACCACAAAGACTCTGAAGAATTGCATTTGATCCGTAATCAGCTTAATCAAATAGAAAAGAAGCAATCCAATCTTCTAGATATCCTCCAGGTTGGCACCAAATCCTGAAAAACTTTACTCTTAGTCTGGAAGAAATGTGTTGAAGTTGAATTTTATTTTCATTTCTTTATGCTTGATTCATGCCCTCAGTTAAGTCGTATATTTTCCTCATTGTCCCATTCTAAAGATGATAATCATGCAAGGCATATGCATGCATCAATATAGTAAATCGCTCCTTGGAAATTGGAATCATTAGACTACTGGAAATCAATTGACGACAAGCACATAGAACATTGAATCCAAAATGAAATATTCAAGGCACATAGTACATAAAACAAGGTGTATCATCAAAAAGGCAAAAAAAACAGAGAACAAGGATGTTCAAATCTGGAATATGACAACTCCAAAGGACAGATCACTGAGTATATTTCTTATTGAAGTACAATTTTCTGTCCAACTTCAAAATTGCGTTGTCTATTACTGTCAGCGCTTGATTATTTGCAATGTTCAATATATCGATTATTCGCCGCAATATATCTCACCTGTGTTTTGTCTAATCCACCATTTAGAACTTCATTGGGAGTTCACAGAATGGAATGAGATCCCTGGAGACGCGTGTGCATGGTCTGGAACTGGCATTAGATGAGATCTCATATGATCTGGCTGCATCAACTGGAAGGATGTCTAATGCCAACACCCCCAGAATCACATGTTGCATGCTGCCTGGAGCTGATTTTTTTAGCTCAAGGTTCTGTAAGAGAGCAAATGGCAGAGGTTCAACACCAAAGTTTGCAATTCCCAGTGGTGTAACTCCACTGGCTCCAATGCGTAGCAAAGGTGATCGCCATGGAACTAATGGGGATGCTGGATCTATAAATTTGGAGAATCATAGCTTTCAGGTCCAGCGAAGGGGTGGCTTCATAGTGAATCCATTGGCTGTGAGGCAAGGTGAATCCAGGGTTGTCTCCGATGCCAGCACTTCCTTGAACGATTTGACTAGGAGGCACTAAAGAGTAAATTCTGAACTGAATTCGTTCTCTTTTATTTTACTTTAAGCTTCATCACTCTTTCTTTTTTTTTCTTTGTTCATATGCAAATTTCTATGCGCTCGAATCTTTCTCCTCCTTCCCACATCATATGCTAATAGCTTTTAGATGGCCGAATATGGTATTTACTGAACTTCAAACAGTTTTTACTTGGTTTATAATACAGGCTTACAGCTATAAATTTTCACTTTCCTTTGCCATGGGAATCTGAAGCATCCCCTTGGAACCCTAGCGATGGATGAGACAGCAGCTAAACATGATTTGTGTTGCTGAAGCAATCAAATCCATTCCAACGTGGGTTTATCTCTGGTATGTTCAAGAGCCAAGTGATCTGAAAATTTTCAATGAGTTACGAAGTTGAATTTCCGTTTCTTCTATTGTTATTTGTTTTCTGGAAATTATAATCAAGAAGTTTATACCGAAATGGTGATTACTGATACGTACAGATGAACCAGAAAGAAAAGAAAAAAAAAAAAAAATTGTGGTGAACATTACAGCTTTCGGTATAAGTGGAAAAGAGTACAAATTATAATTATACCGAAATGGTTGAAACAATGCTTAAAAAGTGGAAAAGAGTACAAATATGCGGTTGATGATTATGATGTTTTTCTGCAATTTATAGCCTTTTATACATTAAAAGTTAGATGTAGTGAACATTACAGCTCACTCAAAACTATCTTAAAAATAAATGGAGGGGTTTCTTCCTCCAACCATATCCAGTTCTGTATTGTACATAACACTGCCACCATTTTTGCCTGGATCAAGCTGTCAGAAAATTCTTTAATGATTTCTTTCACATTTGAGAATTCTCTTAGCCCTTATTTAATTTCCCCACCAAATTTGATCTTTATTATGTTCACGTTCGACCCACAATCAACAAACCTTTCTACACTTAGCTTACAGATGTACTCCATTTGGGTTTTAAGTGCAGAAAGAAGGAAAAACACACACATAAGATATGGACTAATATGAAAGGACCATTAAGTGTAATACCTTCATATTCATACAATACTTATTCATCATGTTAAGCAATGCTTTGTGAACACTTCAGCAATATAATGTATTTCTTAAAAAAGAAGACTATACAGAAGGAAGGAAGGAAGGAAGGAAGGAAGATGCATGGGGATAAGGCCTCACCCCTCCCCTCTAGTTCATAGTGTGTTTATTAACTAACAAACGCTATATTACTTATACTAAAGAAGCCTACTTCCAAAAATCAAGAAACTTATGCTTCAAATTCAGATCTTATAGTTCAGTTATATGATCAGAACTTTTCGATCTTGTTTCTTCATGTTTAACTAATATGAACAGTCGGTATAAGAAACCCCCTAAACTCATCTAATTGCCAGTCAGGGTAAAAAATGAAATGTTAGAAAGAACAAGATAAAAAGCAGCAATTATCCATGAAATAATAAAATTAAAAAAAAAAAAAAAAAAAAAAAAAAAAAAAAAAAAAAAAAAAAAAAATAAAAAAAAAAAAAAAATAAAAAAAAAAAAAAAATAAAAAAAAAAAAAAAATAAAAAAAAAAAAAAAATAAAAAAAAAAAAAAAATAAAAAAAAAAAAAAAATAAAAAAAAAAAAAAAATAAAAAAAAAAAAAAAATAAAAAAAAAAAAAAAATAAAAAAAAAAAAAAAATAAAAAAAAAAAAAAAATAAAAAAAAAAAAAAAATAAAAAAAAAAAAAAAATAAAAAAAAAAAAAAAATAAAAAAAAAAAAAAAATAAAAAAAAAAAAAAAATAAAAAAAAAAAAAAAATAAAAAAAAAAAAAAAATAAAAAAAAAAAAAAAAAAAAAAAAAAAAAAAAAAAAAAAAAAGAAAGAAAGAAAGAAAAAGGCAATGCAGAGGCATGCTCTACGGACGATACTTTGAAGGCCTTGTGGCCTGCCACTAACTTCGCTACCAGACAGGATAAGATGCTCACTTTAGGCTGAAAAGTTCGACCACTGGACTAAAAAATTATTATCTACTTAAGCTTCTTCTTTCATATTCTTTTTTTGAGACGAACCTGTGATCTTGCACTCTTTTCTTCCTCCTTACATAAAGGTGACGAATTTGGAACTACATAAAAATTCCCAAAAGCTTAACTAATTTTTTTTAACACAATAAAACTACACTTTTGACAGCTTAAAAGCTATGGTAGGCAGTTTATATTTTCAATTTTATAAAGAGGAACTCAAAGGGGGGAAAAGCTGAGAGACGTTGAAGAAAAGTCTACAAAGAGGCTGAGATGAAAAATATAAAGATAAGTTTAGATTAAAAAAAAGAAGAAGAAGAGGAATCAATCTATCCCCCTAGAAGGAGTAAGCAGAAAGGCATCCAAATAAGCGTAAATCGCAAGAAAAACTGGAAGGGAAATGGAAGTCTAGGAGGGGCATTCAAATTTTGCCAACTAGAGTCCATCCCTCTCAAGGAAATTCGATAATTCTTTCAAGCCATAAACTCCAAGTAATTGCTTTATCGGTGTTCCTCCATATAATCTTTGTCTCCACTTGGTTGTAAGGCCATGAATGGACAACTTGCTTGTAATCTCTCCATTGTGTTTAAGCCCCCTCAAGAGTCCAGACACATCGTGCAATAGAGAATTTCAACATTTTGTAGTACTTCAACTTTCCAAATTGAGAGTGTTGGAATTTGGGACAGCAAGGAAATGGTATCCATAAACGCTAAGCTTCTTTTTCTTTAACTCGCTCCTGTTGACTATAAAATGACTATTGCCTATCCAAAACAATGTTTGAAAGTGTCAATCAACCCTCACTTGACGGATACTCAGCCAATGCGAATGGAAGAGCAGTCTCATTTGCACATTAAAACGCTTGGGAAGGGAAAGAAACAACTCTATTCTAACGATGGAAAAGGGAGAAGCAGCTAAACATAACTACAATTATTGAATATAACAACCTTCAAGATTTAAACATGACTAAAAGACTCTTGAATCATTCACTAGGACATTACGAATTCACGACCACTGAATTACCTCAGAGATAGAACTTACATGTTTTATGGTAAAATCCAACTTTGGAAAGTGTTCATCTTGTTTTATACCTAAAAATTGAACAGAATGCAGACTTTATCCAGCTCATTGATTGCTCAATATGATGGATCAAAATAAACTGATGAGGTGAACAAATTTAGGAAAAGGTCAGAATGTAGCATAATTATCTGATGAGCAACAGAATTTTATTGTGAGAATGTATTAAGAACTAGAGATTCGAAGTGCAAATAAAATGGTCTGGACCGTAAGGCTCCATTTCAGGCAGAGCACAATTTCCAGCACAGTATTCAAGAGCTTTCTAGTGAGTTTCAAATTAAATTATTAAATAAAGATATAACTATGAGGTAATAAATTATAGTAGCGCAATAGAATTTCAAAAAAGAAAAACAACCAACCTGACGTGCTAAGCATGGTGGTTGCCGACTGTCTTAAGATATTTCAACCATGAAGCTTCAGTTCTAAGTCTCTACCGTCCCCATCTTCCTTTTTAAATGCTCCAATTTCAAGAAGAATTACCATCTGAATTATTCAGCAAGTCCTTGTGCTTTCTACAAATTGAGTGCTTGAGAAAGTAAAGGTTTAAACATTGCCTGTGGAAGTCATCATTCAAATCAGAAGCAGTTCTCTCAAACTTAGTTAACAAGCCATTAACAGTTTCAATATCAGTTTCGCAAGCTGGATTCAAACTTTCGAAGTACAAAAATTCCAGGCTAAATCATATCCAACTTATCTACGACAATTTCATTGTCTGTAGAGTGTAAGCATTCTAAAAGGTTTCACTGGCTCCTATATCACTTTTGGCATCTACATGCGGTGTAAACACTTTCCCTCGATTGATTAAAGTTATCTGAAAATGGAATTCCAAAGCAACGAAGAACAGGTGATAATGTATTTCCATGGCCTCGCTAGTAAAGGACCTGATTTGGAGAGCTTTTCTAAGATTGCAGATTCTATCTATATTTTTATCTTCTCTAGTTTTATAATTCAGAGTATAAGTATCGTGATCATCATCATAGAAGAATTACCGGCTGACTGACAACTGATATTTAATAATGGAATTTTGGAGAAATAAAAGACTGATATTTCGTACATTCTCATGGCTGACCTGTTTAAAGGATAATATTTAATCCCATGTCTGAGTACTCTTTTTCTTTTTCTGAAAAGTCTCACTCAAGTATCAGTATCATCTTTCTGCATCACGTTCATATTCAACACACACGTTTGCTCATGTCGCTTAGGTTTTCTCATCTCTTCTGCAGTTCTGCTAAGTATTTCATGAGAGGAATCATTAGCCTGTCCAAGAAAATAGATTTTCAACAGAACAGATTTCTATGTAAGTATAGTAATTTCTAAAAGGTTCTGCTTTATTGCTACTCATTTTATTAAAGGAAAAGTCAGTCCCACGTGCACCTTTAACATACACTTACCTGACATGTCCATTCCACAAGTCATGAGATGTCGCTTGTTCCAGAGGAGTACCATTTAAGATAATCGTGGACTCACTACGACCAATAGAATTCTGAGGCCGTAATGATATGTCTATCTTGGTAGTAATATTTCCCACCAATTTATTCTCATTCACAGTTTGTATTTCCTGTTCATCACTTTCTCCAATTTACTTGTAACTTCTCGCAACTCTTACCCAATATCTTTGATTATCACTACAGCGTCTGGTTCTCCAATCTGAGACTAAAGTAAACCACTGAAATTACAAAAAGTTGCACAGCCATAGTAGAGTAAATCATAATAGAAAGGTACTAGATTATTACATAAGGGATCACAAGATCACACAATGACGGTTAGGAATCACGACTCTCCACAATGGTATGATATTGTCCACTTTGAGCATAAGCTCTCATGGCTTTACTTTGGGCTTCCCCAAAAGGCCTCAAACCAATGGAGATAGTATTCCTCACTTATAAACCCATGATCTTCCACTAAATTAACCAATGTGGGACTTACTCCCAATAATCCTCAACAATCCTTCCCTCGAACAAAGTACACTATAAGCCTCCCCTGAGGCTTATGGAGCTCTCGGACAGCCTCCCCTTAATCGAGGCTCGATTCCTTTCTCTGGAGCCCTCGAACAAATTACACCCTTTGTTCTGACACTTTAGTCACTTTTTTACTACACCTTCGAGGCTCACAATCTTTGTTCGATATTTGAGGATTCTATTGTCATGGCTAACTTTAGGGCATGACTCTGATACCATATTAGGAATCACGACTCTCCACAATGGTATGATATTGTCCACTTTGATCATAAGCTCTCGTGGATTTACTTTGGGTTTCCCCAAAAGGCCTCAAATCAATGGAGATAGTATTCCTCACTTATAAACCCACGATCTTCCACTAAATTAATCAACATGGGACTCATTCCTAGTAATCCTCAACAATGATAAGTGTTAAACACCTGATTTCCTCCATACAGCGCACAGAATAAAAGAAGACCGAAAAAGTGTCTTCGAACAATCTTTTCAGGAAATCAACACCAGAAACCGAAGTAGGTAACGGTTATATAAACATTTGTACCAGTTACCAAATATGAGCCCTAAAAATCTCTAAATAGCACAGACATACGAAAAACACTAGACAAAATCAAAGAATCCAGTATTCTTTGGGCGTCTAACAAGCATCAGAAGCGCTTCATCCTTATTCGTGAAAAAAATTCCTATCAAAACAGAATACCTTTCTTCTCAAAAACCGTGACCAACGCCACCGCTTCTCTTGCCGTATTGCGGCCTCATACGCACAGGCCTTCTTCAAGGCCGTCGACATCTAAGCATCCAATAACCAACAAGATTAAACTTCGAAAAAGAGAAACACAAACAAAATCAAAACATTCCGAAATGAGAAAAAGAATCAAAGGAGCAGAAAGCCTATATTGAGTTGATTTATTGAAAATCTTAACAGCAAAATTACCTCGAAATCACCCATATTGAAACATTTCCGTAGACTTTCAGACGGAAGCCGAGACGAAGACGACGAAGTTCAAAATTTGAGAACAGATCAAATCCTCGCTTTTACGGTCTTACTAAATTGCCACCATCAGATCCCCCAGTCACGTACCCGCGTGAACCCTAAAACCGGTATTTCGCTCTCTTTTGGCGCCTCGCGGGCGCCATTTGGCCGGCCACCAGGAGCCGTTGGATCGTTGATGTGGTCAAAGTTCATTTACACGTGGGTTAACACGGGAAGTGTTACATGATTTTATTTTCCTTTTAAAAATAGAATTATCTTTTTAATCTCTTAGTTTGGAACTTATATTATTTAATCCAATGTTTTAAATATATAATTTAGCTTACCAAATTTTAATAAACTAGTTATAATATAATTAATCAAAGTGTATATATATATTTATTTATTAATAAGTCGCAGTTTTATTATATTATTTAATCCAATATTTATTATTTATTAATAATATAGGATAAGGACATTATATCTATTTTTATTATCATTTCAATTTTTTTTTTCTGAAAAAAGGTTCTTTGAGATGCGTGAAGAGATACCAAATGTTGAGGTATCGGAGTTCACATATTAGATAATAATTATATTATATACTTACTGAACTTATAATATTCATAGTACTATTTTAAAATGCTCTTTGAATTTTGTTATATTTTTAATGACGTAAGTTAATTAAAAAAAAAAAAAAAAAAAATAGAGATGTTTAGGGGCAGAAATGGAAGTCTTTCCAATCTTCCTCTCACTCATCATTTTTTCACTTATAGAGAAATTCAATCGTCAAATCAATAAAAAAAAAAAAAGTTATCATGGGTCGAGGTAATATAGTGTCTCGATAAAAGAGTTGATGAAGGAGATGATGTTTGATGGTAAATGTGAGATCTCACATCAGTTGAACAGGGGAATGAAACAATGCTTATAAAAGTGTGAAAACTTCTCTGTAATAGACGCATTTTAAACCATGAGGCTAATGATGATATATAACGAGTCAAAGCTGACAATATTTGTTAGTAGTGGGCTTGAATGGTTACAAATGGTATTAGAGCCAAACATCAGGTGGTGTGTTAACGAGAACTCTGGACTCAATGGGTGGATTGTGAGATCCCACATGGGTGGAAGAAGGGAACGAAACATTCCTTATAAAGGTGTGGAAATCTGTCCTTAGTAGACGCGTTTTAAAATCTTGAGGACGACGACAATATGCAACGAGCTAAAGTAGACCATATCTATTAACACATAAGAAATAATTATATATTGCAATTTGAAATATAGATCCAATTTCATAATGTAAGGAATAAATGGTATATGTTTAAATAGTTATATTAATTAATATTGGTTATTTTTTTATTTATCCGAGAAATATATAATATTAGAATCAACACGTTTTATCCTGAGGCGTGTCTGCAGCGACCACCACGTGCCGCGTGTGCAGCTTGAGCTTCGTCTCTTTCCCCTTCCTCCTATATATACACCTGCCTCTCTCTGCAATTCGCTCCCTCATTCGTATCCGCCAAGTTTCACTCTCCACTTTTATGCTTTTCACAAACCTTTTCGCTGTCAACCCTGTGTTCATCGTCCTCGTCTCCACGTGATCATGCGAAGCATCACCGCCGCCGTCAACGAATCCGCCGCCACCGAGATCGGTGGCGGAGGTCCTGGTGTGATCATGCTGTTTGGTGTCAGAGTGGTGGTGGATTCGATGAGGAAGAGTGTGAGTTTGAATAATCTGTCGCAGTACGAGCAACCGCATAAGGCCGCCGATGTAATCGCCAACGATAATATGAACGACCCCGTTTCCGTCAATCACAAAGATGTTGTAGCCGCTGGTTATGCCTCTGCGGATGATGCTGTTCCCAACGCCTGTGGGAACCGCGAACGTGAGCGCAAGCGAGGTACGACTGAGCATCGGATCTCCGATCGCCTTCTGTCTCTGTCTTTCTTCTGGTTTCTGGTTCTTTTCCTCCTGCTTCTTCTGGTTTATTTATTGTTCAATTTTTCGATATATTTAACTGAGTAGTAGAGTAGCTCTGTTATGTGATCGGAACGTACGGAAAGAAACTGGAGTTTTCGTACTGAAATTACTGTGTCGATGGTAATAGGTGTGCCTTGGACTGAGGAGGAGCACAAGCTGTTTTTAATTGGACTGCAACAAGTGGGGAAGGGGGATTGGAGAGGAATTTCTAGGAACTTTGTTAAGACTCGCACCCCAACTCAGGTCGCTAGCCACGCTCAGAAATACTATCTTCGCCGGAGCAATCTAAATCGCCGTCGCCGTAGATCTAGTCTTTTTGACATCACGACGGACACGGTAACTTACGAATACTTGCTATTCAATTTATATATGGCGTCTGTTTGATCGTTGAATCTGATTACTGATCGGAGGTCTTCATCCCGAATTCTTCGACGACCAAGTTGAAAATGGTCGTTGATTGAAAGTCAACTAGATGACTGGATTAAATAATCAAGTAACCTGGCTATTTACGAAATCCATGACGAATTACTCTATGATGATGGATCGAAATTTTGTTTCAGTCGTACATTTTCTGAGAGGCGGACATTGACCTTTAAAAGACCAAATTGCGTAATTGATTTCGATTTGTTTAGCTACTGTTCTTTAGTTGACAAATGAAGGACTTGACTGTTATAACCCAAAATCTCTTTTTACCTCCCACCAACCCCAACAAAGTTCGATTTTTCATGATAACTCTGATTTTCCTCTGTCCTTCCTGTTAGGTCACGGCTGCTCCTATGGTTGAAAATTCGGTGCAGCTTCAAGAAACTGCTTCTCAATCCCATTCCTTAACTCCATCAAACCAACTCAAAATTTCCAAGAACAATGTGATTCCGGCGGTGCAAACTTTGCCATTTTCATTTGGGCCAACACCATTTGCCACTCCAACCAAGAATCCGATGGAAAAGGGTGGTGGTCCTGGAGAAGTAAGCACAGAAAAAGATGGACCACTGAAGCTTGGCCTCACGAATTCCATCTCAGCAACGGAGTCATCAGCTCTATCTCTTCGCCTTGCATTAACATCTGAGCAGAGGGAGGCTTCAACAAGACTCTCAACTTTCCAGTCCATGCCTAGTTTCAATAATGGTGAGGGCATCATAAGTGCTGCTTGATAATTTTACAGATCTGGGAAAAGTTATTGACAATTTAATTAGAGAGAATGGGGTAGAGACCACAGAAATTATTAGGCGACTGAATCTGATCGATCCAGTGCAGACCGGCTAAAAGGGAGTTGCTCCATGTTTTTGATGGCATCTGTGTAAGCTAGATTCTTGATGATTTCGCTGTTCTTGTCGGTAGCTGGTTACTGACGGAAATAATGACACGCTATTCTCTGTTAGAATTAGAAAAGACTGTTGTCTCGTGGGCTCGGTTGTAGTTTGAAGGAAAGAATATCCAAGTTGGATAAATGGGTGGTGGGTGCGATGATGTATGTGAAAAAGAGGGAAGGAGGCAAAATTCCCCAGTATGGCTTTGATCTCCACATCCACAGTGATGGAGCATGATGGCTGTCCGTTGTCTGTTGTTTTGACGTATCTTTATCTCTGATATATATGGGGTATCGGGGCCGTGTATGCTGTATATTTATGTGGTTTTGGTGCTCTTCATCTTATCCTCAATACCCTTTATTCGATGTAAAAAATTTGTGCAATGAATTCTGAGCTTTAGCTCACCCTTCCTTTTGAAACCATTGTTCTTAACTAAGTTTGAGTCTATTTTAGGCATGAAATCCAAGCTAACTCCATTTTCCTGTGGTCGAGGTCGAATAGGATTTAAATGAGATTTAAAGCTTCTAATTAATAGTAGCAGAACCTCACCTTATAGAATTTAATGGAACCCCCTAGTTTCAAGCATGTGCTATGTTTATCCCTTTGTACTACTCTTGAATCTGATCTCGTTTTCTTTGAACATTATTTCTATTTTATTAATATTGTTCAATGCTCCTTTTTTTTTTTCTCCAAAGGGGAATCTATTCACTTATTTCTGCATATGAGTTGCAATGTTCCTTCCTTTTTTTTTTTTCTTTTCTCCATCTATGGTATTAATTTATAGTTTGGAATCTTATCTTTCTATGTTTTTAACAATTTCCGAACCCAGACATCTGAATGAATATAGTCACCAAACTTCAGACTTTAATCTTTGAGGACAAACAAAGTGAATCATGGATGCACGTTCCACATTTTCAAAGTCCTAATCCATCAATAATGTGATGTGATGCAACAAGATGAAATGGATCCAAATAAATAACACTTGAGAGAGAGTATACATGTAAAAAGAAATGCAGCGATGTTCATATCATATCCAATTCTTTTGATCACATGGTGAGACGGAGAAAGAACTAGAAAGCTTAGAATACATATTTGAAACTACCGGAGAGATTGTGAAGTAAGCAATAACTTAAATGGCAGTATAGTATAGGACATGTACATACAGTTGCATTTACCAGTATAGTACAGAGTACAGTACAGTATAGTATAATAAGAACATTCCCCCGTCCTCATCTCCAATCTATCTATCCAGATGATGAAAGCCAAGGGTCTGGAGCAACATACGAGTATCCGTGGAAATGTCCTCCGTTGGTTGGCGTTGGAGCTGGCGAGTCGTCGGGGGCCATCGTCGTCCAACAATTATCAAAATTTGCTGTGCAGTCATTTCCCTTGACATCCGGCTTGAATTTTGGTTGCAGCTCCCTATATTCCAATTTCTTCCAGTTCACAGGTCGAAACCATTTGTGATTTTTTATGTCCGCCCCTCTGTTGGGTCCACTTCCTAATCTTTTAGAGGGATCCTTTTGTAATAGCTGTGAAGAACAAGAACTCCCATTATATCGGTCATGAAAATAAAGATTACTACAGACGAAAATGGAGTTCTCTCTCAGCTTACCCCTCTGAGCAAAGAGTGAGCTTCAGTGCTCAGGTATGGTGGAAGTTTCACTTTCTCTTTGATTATTCTCTCTTGAAGCTTCTTTCTATTAGCGTGTGTGAATGGTGGCTGCATATAGTCAAAAACATAAGCAAACATCAGCAGCCACAATAAACACAAGCATTCGGATTGTGATAATGAATCAGCTAAAGTGGCGAGGGACTCCAA